TGACGCGCGCTACAGCGCGCTACAGGCATCGCGAACTCTGAACGCTACCTTACTGTGTCAGAGGTGAACTAGTGGCAAGTGTGCTGCTTGTCACCTCGCTGCTCCGAGATCTCTCGAGATTCCGGTTTGGCTCCCGCGCACAGCAGCCAAACTTTCTACCTCTTTTGCATAGGAAAATTTCACAGTGATCTCGAATGACCTTCATTTCAATTTACTGTTCCTCACTACACCCTAAATCTTGCTCGCACTCTCGCAGCGAACTTAGTGTCCCACTCTCATGGTCAGACATTTTTTTACTCGTTCCATCTGACTGTGACGGGCTGGAAGGCTCACTGACAGACATCTGAAGAACGGGTGGTAATAAAGACGCTTCCATAAATAAAGGAATCAGAACTAGCGCTCATCTGCTTATTGTACTTATTGGGGACGTTAGCCAGAATTTTGCAGAGATCGTCGATGGGAACGTGAAAATGACGTTGGGCCTGATCTGGACCATCATTCTTCGCTTCGCCATCCAGGACATTAACGTTGAAGGTTCTGACTCTTTCCCAAATCCTCCCTTTGACGATAATTGCCTAATTGCTGGTCGATTTCAGAACTGTCTGCACGCGACGGACTTCTTCTATGGTGTCAACGTAAGACAGCACCGTACAACAACGTGAATGTGCAGAACTTCCACACCTCCTGGAAGGACGGTCTTGCTTTCTGTGCTCTTATTCACAGGCATAGGTGGGGAATCATATTCATTCATGTTTACAATGGGTTCAAATACAAAACTTGAGTAGTATTCGAGGATTGTTTTCCTGCTTATTTACTTGGTTGTACACATTATGAAACAAGCTTAGCGCACCTCGCCTCGAAAGTAGAGTGCTTCCAAATTTTTACGAAGCTGCGGAACTCTGCAGATTTTTGAACTTTTTTTTGCACAGGTCTCATTCATCCCGGAGCTTCTCCTTCTAGGCTTAGGCGAAACCTTATCTCCGCCTCACACACGTTTCCCCAGTAGCTTCCTGCTTAAGGTGTAAACCCTCTCTTCTAGTCTAAAAAACTCTGTCGGGAAGTAGACCAGGATTCCTATATCGAGGTTGAATGAGGGGGAAAGGAAGTTGAAGGGATTCGCAAAATCGTTACCGTAGCTCTTTGATTTCTACCTCAGCCTAGTTAATGCACAATGCTTAATGAACTCACTGAAGCTTTGTTCGAAGATTCCAGCTTCCTAAATGCTTGGAAAACAAGTTCTTTTTTCTAAAATGGTTTTCAGCTTAACATAAATTTTGTGGTTTAGACCAGAACTGATCGATTATTATCAACTTCACAAGGGCGATCCAATTTACAATCTCAACTTGGCCTTCGATGTGGCTGAAAAACATCTTGACATTCCACGAATGTTGGATGCAGAAGGTAAGGAATTTGATCTATGTCATTGGTGCTAGTGATCCTTATCTCTCGAGCCCTATGGATTGGAGCTTAAACCTCTGGCAGGAATCTGTACCTCACGCTAGCTCGGGAGCTTAAGGCCCTAGTTCAGTTCTGGCCAAGGCTAAGCTTCTATCCATAGCGAATATAAGAAATTTGTGGTAATCTTTGGATCGCGAACTACTGCGACGAATAGCAGTTCTTCCAAGGGTGAGCTTTCGAAAAGCACAGAGTTTGGACTTGTCTCGAAAATTTTCCCCGTAACAGCAAGATTTTGAAGTAACTCTTTTCCTAGCTCAACTTTCAACCTTTCCTATCAACAGTCTCCTAGAGGACTGAATGACAGTAACATGTAGAGCAGTGTTTGCACTGAGTGCTCTTAGATAGCTTTCCCCCTTTACTCACAAAAACAACCTACGGGCATATAAAAAAACTAAATCTGTTCGAAAATCGACAGCAATTTACACCTTCCGGTCCTCTTTTCGGTGGTGGGACGTTCAGAAATGCTCTAGGCCCATTGCAAAAATGGGTGGGATTTAATCGATTTCCATAGTGGATATGATGTAGTTTTATAAACAGATTGGTAAACTGAATACAGTATGCTTTTAATAAGTGTTCTTCCAAAGAGCTGTAGGTTGCACTGAACGAAAAGTTGTTCGTAGATGCACTTGTCTTGAAACTAGGATAGATTTGAAATCGCCTACTTATCAGACGCCGCCCACAATCCGGACGAGAAGTCGATCATGACGTACGTGTCATGCTTTTACCATGCGTTCCGTAATGCACCGGAAGTCCGTTCGATACCGCCGCCACAGCGGGCGCCACCACCGGAACGCGACTGGCGTAAAGAAGTAAGCAGCTCGTGGTGGCCAATGCTGTGACGTGATTTGAGTGCTGAGGACGTGGTCCACCTATGTTCGATTTGAGTGATCACTAATCTAAAACGAGTGACACACTAACTCGTCCTTAACTGATCAATTTTTGTTTCGAAAAGATCCGTTCTGTTTTTCACTTCCAGCGGCGATAGAGTTTCAGTGGAGTTCTGCAAGCGTCTGTGTTGTTTGAGGTGATGCTTTCAGACATGGTGAACTCACATCCGGACGAGAAAGCTGTCATGACGTATGTCTCCTGCTACTACCACTATTTCAGCGGAATGCGTAAGGTCCGTGGCAACGCGGAATGTTTTTGTTATTTTTCAGTTTATCGTGTCAGGTGTTCTTAACTCGAGCTTTCTAATGAAAGTGGAGTGTTTCTGTCGTTGAATGGTGTGAAATGGCTAAAAAGCTCAGGCTTGCGACACAGCCCGCGTCTGTCGCCTGTGCGGAGCTGGGACTATCGCCGTGGTTCCTCTATTGGTGCGTCCTTCTCACTGAGACAGTAACGTTCTAAGATCGCAAGGAATACGCTCGGCTCCGCCCATGCGAAAGTCGCGAAATGTGGCATTAGATATCTTCCAAAAATTATTGAACACGGGATCCTTATGGGTTACTCTCGGTCCTACTAATTGTGTACTATTAGCTGGAGCCCCGCTTTCCCAAGGAAGTGAGGTCGTAGCGGAACCGCCGTCGTCTAAAGGGAATACGAGGAAACCTGGTGCAGTAAAAAAAATGAAATCCTTTCATGGGTCATTGTGTTGCACTTCCGTGTAATCTCTGTAGAACACGAACTGAGGAATATGAGGGTCTTGTTTGTATCACAAGATATCCTCCAATCCCGAAGCATCTCTTGAAAGCCCGACTTTCCTTAGTGAACGGCTGATGCTACCTCACCTAAAGTCCGATCTTTACTCAGGATAGTGTTTGTCGTTCCTGAGATTGACTACTGCGTAAGACTTGGGCCCATATAGAGTGGGAAATGAAAAGCCATTAGTGTTTCTCAAGCAGCGTTCAAAATTCGCGAAGACACGCGTCGACGCGCTCCATCGCACTATAGTGCGCTACCATTTGCCATAGGCGGGAACACTTTCGTAGACGAGCATCGATCGCCGTTTACCGCTGGTGTCTCTAGAAGGTATATGAAAACAGAAGGGTACGCTTTGCTTTTTCACGCAGCCTGGTGCCCCTATCCTTACTTACTCTCTCAAAACAGCGGCAGCCGCCAGTCGATACCTGTCTATTACTGCGTACCCGTGCATACCATCGGAATGCCACTGCAGCGGTAGTGCGCTAGAGCGCGTCGACGCAGGTTATCGAAGTCTGAACGCTGCCGCAGTAGGTTCTAGATGAGTTCTCTCGGGAGGGAAGAGGGTGCTTGACTTGCTGAGGCATGTGTGTCGGTGAGAGAGGGGGTATTGACAGGAGTACATTTCCGCCGTTTTGTCCCATAGTACCGGTCCTCCTGGAATGTGGAGGTAACGGTAGGCAAAGACCCTTAGGTAGAGGCTGTCGTGCTAGAAACCACGGGATGGTAGACGCCTGGGCATGTCTCCTACTTGAGTATCCCAGGGGTCCTGTGTTCAGTGGACTTGAATATATTGGGTGTCATGAGCTCGTAAACCAATTTAGGCGGAAACGGCAGCGAACAGAATCTGTCGGGTGCTTAAAGTCAACCAGGAGAATGAGAAAATGATGCAGGAGTACGAACATCTCGCCAGCGATGTCAGTAGCTAGTTCAAAGTTGTTTTTTCCGCTAAAACTTAACAGGTATTGACCTTGGATTGTCTTAGTTGCTCGCTTGGATAAACCACTGGATGCCGTGGTTGGCTAATCGAACCACCGACGACAATTTGTCGAAGGCACAGAAGAAGCTCGACGACTATCGCAATTATAGACGGTACGCCACTGTCTTAGAGCTTACCAGTCAACTGGCCATTCACCTGGCTATAAATAAAATACTGTAGGCATGAGAAACCGCCACGAATCGAAGACAAGGGTCGTCTAGAGACGCTGTTCAATACACTCCAAACTCGTCTGCGGTTGTCAAATCGACCGGCATTCCTTCCTCGAGACGGACATCTTGTTAAGGTAAGTGAAATTGCATGCCATCTCCTTATATTAAGTTCCTCGATTTCAGGACATTAACAATGCATGGAAGAATCTCGAAGACTCGGAGAAGGGCTTTGAAGAATGGCTTCTCAGCGAGATCATGCGGTAGGTTGACGAAAATCTAATGTATCTCATTCGAGGGCATCCCAGTCGTGAAAGACTGACACTTCTGAGATGAATCCCAGCGAGGGGAGTCGAATTTGGTCGCTGTGGAGAGGGAGGCCAAAGTTATGTACCCTCAAGAAAAATATTTTCGGTTGATGACTTTTTTCCCGTTTCATGTGCGCAGTATTCCACTTACCCCCGCTCGATGGTGTTTTTCTTGCGACGGGCAGGGGAGGGGGACTGGAGTATTTTCGAGGAAAAAATTTCAAAAAAGTGATAGGGAAATGGAAGAATTTTGGGATGGGGATGGATTGGGGTGATCGTTCCAGAGGAGCACATTTTGAGGAGCGTCATATTCTGGAAGAAATTTTCCTTATGGCAGGATGAGCCGTGGTCGGCACACCCGGGCGGGGTCACCTGGACAAATGGACGCTTCTCATTAATGGGCCCAGAGAAATGGTCGCTTTTTATAGATGGACTTGGACAGAAAAATGCTTCTCATAAATGAGCCTCTTTTGAATGATCAAAGAGCATGAATAAGGAAGCTTGTCTCAAAGATTCCCGTCTCGTTAGTGATCACTGGTTTCCGTAAATAGTAATAACTGTTATGGGATTGAAAGTATCATCGCCTGGTCCGAAAACGCGGTTGATGATGCTGATGACCGCTGATGCCAGCACCGTTTCTTTTTGCATTTTTTTCGGTTGGGTATAAAAGATCCAGGCTGCAGTGACGCGGTGAAAGCGGTCTTTGCCAGTGCTGCCACGTGTTCTTCTTGTAAGAACATAGCTGATTTAACGTGGAATGCCGCAACTTGTTGACTCTATTAGCTAGGAAATGCTCCGCTAATTCATGCCCGGTGTCACAACGATCATTTGAACCCCTTCAGTTTCTGCAAGGCATGATTTTGGCTCGATTGAGATCGAAATTGTCCTCTAGAGTGCAGGCATGAGCCTATTCTTTTACGTATTCGGCTATCCTGCCATTTAATTGTGATATAAAAGAGACTCGTGAGTACGAACCTGACTGTTTTAAGTTTGGAACGACTGGAACATCTGGCGGAAAAGTTCCGCCGCAAGTGCGCTTTGCACGAGGAATGGTCGCATGGTAAGGAAGAGGCGCTTGCGTAGCCAGGACTGGAAGAGCTGTGGATTGTATAAGATCAAGGTCCGTTTCATCGATTTTTACCTTATTGAAATCACCTACAGTTCGGTATTCATTAATTTTAAGGCTCTTCGCAAACGTCATGAAGCTTTCGAAAGCGACCTTGGTGCGCATCAGGATCGAGTTGAACAGATTGCTCTTATCGCCAGAGAGCTCAACAATCTCCGTTATCCGGACATTGGACCAATCAACGCCCGCTGCCAGGTAAGGAAAAAGTTCCCTCTCATGAAAGAATCTCCGCCCCCTCCCCCTGGTTCTCAAATCTCCTCTTCGAGAAGGTCGAGTATGCAAGTAATTCGATGTTTAAATCGAGTTCCGCACTTAAAGGCAGTTGGCACGATAAATCCCCAAGACGAGTAGGATTAATACGCCTGGCAGGACGGAATTCCGCGACCCTGAGCAGGCGCTGCATAATGCCTTTTCCAAGGGAGGTGCCCTTATAAGGGCCCTATCAAGCCACAACATTACGACCCAAACGCCACGCCCGCCCGCCCACAAATGGACGACCGTTCCTGACGCTCTATTCATTCATTTGCTAAGCAAATTATGAAGCGAAGGGATTGGTATGAAGCGGCCGTGATGCTGCATGCATATATGGGTACACATATGCAGCCGTATCTTCGGTAGCGGTGATTGGCAAGATGCCTACGGGAAACTCGTCCAAAATCGATTCAGAGAAAGGCTCTGAAAGCGTGAACACTCATACTGGCTGACAACCGTCCGCAGCGCACTAGAGTGTGTGAGTACACGGGAGACAGTAAAGAGGACCGTAATTCGCCGCACCGCCACGCGCGGCGTTTTCATAACTCGTTTTAACCTGTCGAATGGAGCACCGGACTTCATGTAGACCCCGTCATCGTAGACAGTCATTACTGCTTTCGGTCCTTAATTGCATTTTGTCGCCATCTACTACCTGGAACCATCGTCCTTTGCAGACTAGACGTCGCACGCGACGCCCAGCAGCGCGGCGAATTACGATCCTCTTGGTCACATACCCTGAGTACACATATGCAGGCCATGACCTAAGTAGGCGCTGTGCAAGATGCCTACGGAACACTTCGTCCAAATTGATTTTGAACACATTGAGGAGGAAGGTCTTCCTTCGCAGGATTTTGACCGTTTCACTCCGTTCTTTCGCCATTTCCCCACTATTTAGCGCCCTACTAGCATTTCAGGCCGAGCACCAAATCATCGTGCCAATTGCCTTTAAATTCGAATTTGGCTCATGTTCCATCATGTACCCTTTTACAAAGTGCGAGCCATACCTTGACAAAACCTCAGGAGTATTGCATGCAAAAATAGAACTTTGGAATGTGGTGATTTACATTCGGCATCGCAGTAGCAGCTGACATTGGAGATAATTTCGACGCGCGGCGCCGCCGTTATCTTGAGTCGACTCTGTATCCCAGGTTAACTCGTAATACGATGCCGCGACAAGGAAGTAACTCTCCACACCCGGGACCTTGTCCCATGAATAAGCTTTCTCACTGAACAGAAGCATCATATCTATCTGACGTGTGAAGCCCTGCTCCTGTGCTGCAGGCACCGGCGAGGTAGGCGTCGCGCGGGAACTAAGCATTCTAACGCATATCAAGTACGATTATTATGTCCAGTGGTCAACTATCCCCAGGGACAAAGACACCGAAGGATCAGCCGAGTTCAGAAGCGGTAAGAAACCCATGAACCTCTTTAGTGCCCGTTCTCGTGCGAATGTCCCTGATTCACAAATGAGTTACCATTGAGAGTTGTATTTAGAGTATTTGCTCGCAATGGGACCGTCTCGGACAACTGGCATCTCAGAGACGAATTGCTTTGGAGGAAGCGGAACGAGTCGCTGAGCGTCTTGATGCGCTTTATCTCGATTTTGCCAAGAGGTTGAGTTTCCTTATCTACAAATGTTGGTTTATAATAGCGCTTAATCGTAGAGCTTAGACCTGTGCTGCTGGAAGCATAAGTTTGACTTCAAGCACAAGTTCCGCGGTAATCGAATGGGCGGAACCCACGGCCATCTGCTGCTTTTCGTCGCAATGGAAGAATGAGCGTACCAATGAAAAAGGCGCGATGGTTGTGGGTACCCGCCCATCTCTTGCCCGCTTATTATTGTAGAATTGTGTCCGTAAGAATAGTTCAGAGTGTCCTTGTATTCCGTGAAATTCTTTGCAGAGCTGCTCCGTTCAACAACTGGCTGGATGGTGCTCGTGAAGACCTGGCTGATCTAGTGATTGTGCACGAAATGAAAGAAATCCAGGAACTCTGTTCCGCCCACGATCACTTCAAGTCGACCCTAGGAGACGCTGATAAGGAGTTTGCTAGCATTTCCGCTATCGAGCAGGTGAGTGATTTCTAGCAAAGTGTACCAACAAGTGTTTTAACTTTTTACCATATCTGTTGCACTCCCCACGTTTTCGTCCTAATTCTTTTCATCTAGGAGATCGAGCGCCTTGTGGAAGCTCATGGACTCGATCGTGAACTGCTCCGCAATCCATACACGGATCTGTCCGCCATCGATATTCGCCGTAAATGGGGTGAAGTACAGCAGGCAGTACCAAGAAGAGATGGGCAGCTGCAGAGCGAGCTGCGAAGGCAGCAAAGTGAGTCCCACTAGGAAACAACAGTAACTGCTATGGACAAGGTCAAATTTTTCAGATAATGAGCGCCTTCGCACCGTATTCGCTGATAAGGCAAATCAGGTTGGACCGTGGCTCGAGAGGGAACTAGAGCGGGTGAGATTTTTGGAATTCTGTTCAATGCAAACCCTGTTTGTGTAGCCTAAATACAACCTCCCCCTCGTTGTGGAATGCTGGAAAATGGAATGGCCTGTTTCCGGTCAACCGAGGGCTTCTTAGGCGCACCTGGGCTTGTTGGGTATGTTGCTGAGTGCTGTCAATCATTTCCGATTCCTCCCGTAGAGCTCGTCGAACCATTGTGGAGCAGGAGCGGTACAAAGGTACATATTTTGCTCCAAAAATGGTAGCTCTGCACAGGCGACGTTGGTCTTACTTCTGCATAAAAGGTTTGTTGAATGTCTCTGCTGTTATAAGCGCCAAGAAACCTCTGCTTGGAAGCACAGCTGCAGGAGTTGAAAGTGGAGCATAGGGTAAACGTGCAGACTGTCATACCTGAGACGCGTCTTGAAAGGCGATGTACTCCTTACCCCTGAGCCGGGGTAGGCGTGGCATTCGAACATGGCGCAGAACTGGTTACTCGTGGGGTATTTCAATTTGAGACACCGC